AACCTATATTGTCCCCAAAACTCAGCTGGTTTTCATGACTTCTGTCAACTCTTTGTATAACTGAAGTTTGTAAGTTATAAAAAAGGATATCCTTAGGTAGCACCAAAAGATAAAAGCTATTCCCTTTGACTCGTATAAATTTGAAGAACCATATCTTGCTAAAATTCGACTTTTAGAAGGCGTATTTAAATGATTTCACAAATGCAAATCTACATTTCCTTTTTCTGTCTCAGTATGAGTTCAGAATCAATATAAATACTTCTGCCAGCATGAAGCACTCCAAGACAAATAGCATATAACACCACCAGGGCATTCAAACAGAACAGTTGATTTGTTATTTTCTAAATTATACTACAAACACTTCAAATATGTTAACTCTGTCCCAAGGAACAAATTGGAATAAAATTGGGTGCAGGTCAACAAACCCATAGCAAGTTAGGCTACATCCCAAAATAGTAAAGCCAAAACATAAAAATAAAAAGAAAAGATACGAAACTAAGTATCTTCCTAGCAAAAGGTCAAACAGAAACAAAGTCATACTTACGTGTATTTTCGACAGCCTTTGTAAAATTTCAAACATCTTTCCCTCAAGGATTCCGCACTTTCCTCAGAGCATTGTATCTAGTCCATAGAAAAGTGATGGAAAAGGGAAACAAAATCAATCGCTCCAGAAATCCTTGACAATAACAAAGGGATGACAAAAATACAGTAATGTGAAATGCACGTGTCTGTTTCACCACAAAAATTGGAAAAAAAATTAAAATAAAAAGTGTTTCGGAAATGCCTCCCAAGATTGAACTCCAGAGAAGCTCGTGAAATAGTTTTTCCTTAGTTGCCAAGAGGATATATCCTAAAGCTTTCAAAGTAGATTGAGGAATATTCATGTGGATGTTAACCTTATCAAATATATGTCATCTCAGATAATTGAAGAACCTGGATGTCTTTAATGGTCATCCTTAACCACAAGGCATCATAATCAGTTTACATTAATTTAGTTCAAGGAAACGATAGATTTAGTTGTATATGGTTAATAACTTCCTCTAACTACCTAAGGCTAGCTTAGGAGGGAGAGGGGGGAACAAAAATAGGAAAAAAGCTCTTCCAATGGAAAATCAAATTCCAAAAGAAGTGCTTGAGACATGGATAATTGAAAATTCCAGTATCAGAATGTCTCAGACTACATGCAGAATGCCAGTAGTACTCGTAATCCCTTGGATAAAGTAATGCAGTTACAGAAGGAAAATTTGTTGAAAAAACAAAAATACTATGTGTGTGTGTGTGTGTGTACATATCATACAGCAGAACAAGTTTGAGAAAAACTAAAACTTAAATCCCTTCTCACGCAGAGTTCATTTAGAAATCTAAAACTTAGCAACAATTAAAGTGGCCTAAGATTCTTACAAAGTCGACAATCACGCTTAACCGCAATTAAAATTTTTTCCAAAAAAAATCTTCACTAAATTATCAAGATACTTGAAAAAAGAAATTAGCAACATTCACCTACTTAAGCACAATCAAGAAGCTAATGGAGATTAACAACAAAGCAAAAGCCAAATAAACAAACAAATAAATAACAAAATTTTTAAAAACAAAAATAAGTCGAAGCTGAAAAGTTGGTAACAAGACGGAGTAAGTCTTCCATGAAAGTGAGGCATTGCATAGCTGAAAACAAAGAAATTTTGGAGGGGGAGAAGGGGGGAGGTTGGAGAAATAAGAAAGAAAAAAAAAAAAAAGTTGTGTTACCTGCTTGCGGAACATGGGAGAGTCATCAAGCTTAGCGAAATGCATGTTGGCAAAAATCGAAAGTTTGGTTTTTGTTGTTGCCAACAATTCTTAATTAACATAGGAGTTGAGTTGATGCGGGGTACAACAACATTGAACACAAACGGCTTGGGAAAAAGTTCGATCTTGGAAGTTTTCTAGTGCGGGGAAAGATTTCTTCTTGTTTTTTTTTTTTTTTCGGTGTGGTTTGGTTATTGGATTAAGAAAAGGAATTGATTTGGCGGAGACTCCGATCTCAAAGATTACTGTTCATCCAACTAAAGCGCAAAAGCCAGAAGCCGCCCATCAGCATCATTAAGCAAGTTGGGCAGATGTAAGTGCGTACAAGTAGCATCCACTAGGAAATTAATTTTAGGAGTAGCAGCGCAGAGTATCAGCTGGAGAAGTTAATTTATTTTTGATTTAAGGAGAAGGATGAGTGAATAAATGTGAGGGTTGAAAACAGGAAATGGGAAAGAGGGAGGAGCTTTGGGAAAAGTGAAATGATTTTGTGTGTGATGGTGGTGGGGGTTACTACGGGTACAAAACACCAGAAGGAGAAAAAGGGGAGAGAAACCCTAGAAATAGAAGAAAGGGGAAAGGTGATGGGGGAGGAAATGAATGAAAGTTATACCGCTACAAGTCACAGTGCAGTGCTAGGAAAGCAGCAGAGCTGAGAAGAAAAGCTTCTAGGAGGAGGAGGAGGAGCGGTAAGCCGGTAACTGCTAACTAGAATGCTGTGCTGGTGGTAGTATCACTGCACTGCACTAGTATAATACTATGTAAATCTTCTTCTTCTTCTTCAACTCTTCATCATACCAAATTATGAGTCATTACTGCCCGCAAGCATTCATTTGGGCCTGAGGCTGTAATACTTGTACTACTAACTTGTTTATTATTTATTTTTATTTGTTTAAACCATAGAGATAGAAAGATAGCGGGCGGCACAAAATACTAGAAAGCATTTAGAAGTGAAGAAAAAAAGTACTAGTGAAGATTTTTTGTACACCTTAATGGAGTACTAATATACTACTAGCAGTAAAAGTCAGTAGAGGATGAAAAAATGCGGAGACCCGCCTCCTCCTCCTCCTCCTCCTCCTTCTTCAGGATCCATCTACTCTAGTCTACTATTATTAGTAGGCGAAATACTAATCCTGCTTGGTAATGGTAGCAGTACTAACTATTTTGCAATCCCGGAAAACTACAAGAATTAGAATAATAATAGTCAGTGTATTGGAGGGGTGGTCAAGATTTCTTTTTTTTTTTTTTTATAGATAAGAAAAAGGAAAAGGAGAGAGACAGAGAGGGACAAAGAGACAGACAAACACTCCCACGCACTTTGATTTTGAATAAAGAAAAAAAAGATAAAAAAAAAAAAAAAAAAAAAAAAAAGACGAAGACAGACAGCTCTCCAGTCTCCACACCAAACCAAACCTCTTTTTCTCTTCTTTTTCTTTTTTTACTGACCGATGACTAGTGCCGTACCAGCGCATACTTATTAGTTACTACTACAACTCTCGTCTTATGTCCGTCCGCGTGAGTTTGTGTTTTTTTTTTTTTTTGTCATCACTGTGAATATCCGGGTCTACACCCGACTAATCCCACAGTGCTCCAGCAGAGCGAGCCCGACCGATGCTGAAGAAGATAACAACTGGATTGCTGCCCGGGATCGAACCCAGTGGAACTTACCTAAGAAGAAGGCTACTTTCACCGGCAGACCAACCCAACGCGGGCGTGAGTTTGTGTTTCGATTGGAGTTTATTTGAAGTAGCATATGCACTGGTGTATTATTTCCAACAATTAATGCAGTACTTTTTATAATAATAATAACGACATGATTGAAAAAATATATTTATGATACAAATAAATAACTTTTATGCAAATAATGTCGACGTCTATCAAAACACACCCGCCCGTTTTATTAAAAAAAAAAAAAAATTCCCTTTTGGTTTTTAGCCCATTCCGCAGAAGATCAGCGGCATACTACTGTTAGCCTCACCAAAGGCACAAGGAATCAAACAAATACGAGGGAGAGTTGTGGGTGTCCCACATTTTTTAACACGGTTATGTACTTTTTGACTTTTTTTTTTTCTTTCTTCCTATTTTCGAGTAATGTAGGAAACCTCCTCCGAAGTTACTCTTAATATCACTTAACTGTCATAACGTTTTAAAAATATACTTACCGCCCTTATTTTCATTATTTGTGTAACAAAATTTTTAAAACCCTAAACTACCCTTTTGCTCACTTTCCTAAATAAAAATACTCCTTAGTCGCATTATTTATTCCAAGAAAAATCACCACTTGAAAACAATTACTAGTAGTACCATTGCATTACGAAGCTATAGTCCATAAAAATATAAATTTGATATGTGGATTATGTATCAAGTGAAAGTTAACATAGTCATTTTGCAATCACTAGGGTTGGTAATTGATACTTTTAAGGAGGCTTCTAATAGTCTCCCCTTTTTTTTCATATATTACCATATTTATCATTATTGTTATTAGTAGAACAAGTTGCTAGCACTATTAATTTTGGTGCAAACAGAAGGACCTTGCATCCCTTAATTATGAGATATCGGATTTAGAAACTCATGAGAATAAAAAAGATAATGTTGGAAGAACTTTCCCTCACAAGGGACCTGACACGGTTCAGACAGGATTAATTACAGACCATAAAACGAATGCGGATACATGTGGATTATACAAAAAAAAAAAAAAAAAATTCCCTACTCAATCTAATCCTTTGTCTAAACCTCAATCTTTTACTCTCTTTTTATTATTATTATTATTATTATTGCTGCTTAGCTAACAGAAATGCAGAATCATTATTGAAAATATAAATTTTTTCATAAGAAAATAACTGTATCTTTTTACAAAAAAAAAAAAAATCTATCTAACAGTCAAAAGAAATTTTTTAGTTCATCACTGTCCGAATTAGTATATTATATTAGAAATGGAAGACCAATGAAAGAGAAATCTAAACATAACAGGACAAAGAATAAAAAGGGCTCATGTGTCAATTTTGCTCGAGTCTTTAGATAGCAGCCCATATCACGGAGGAGCGTTTTATAAGCAATCGAGAATCGAGGGGTTATGGAACCAATTAGCTTTTGCTGTCCTGCGTCTTTCCGGAACCTTGCTTGCATTTGTACGTCAGTCATATTCAACCATGACTCCAACAACCCCCTAATATTTTATTATTATATTACTTAACTACTGGCTCCAGCTCCAAGGAAGACAAACAAAACGCTTGCAAGTACATAAGATTGATGCTCCCGTTTTAAGGGAAAGAAGAAAAAGAAAATGCAGAACACACTCTTCAACTATATACACAACAGCAGAGACATGTCATCTTTAACCTGCAGTCTTCCGACGACACCATCGCTGTCTACCTGCTGGCTAGGTTGATTGATATCCAAAGGGAACACCCAAGATCCACATTTATACTCTAATGAAGAAAGAAGATGCAAAAGATGCAGCAGTTAACGCCCGCAAAGCGCCTCTCTCTTGACCTCTCCTTGGCAGATGATTTTTTGAATTAGGCTCACAAAAGAACGATGGAGAAGATGCAAATACCAAACAAGTCAATGATCCAACTTCTGAGGATTATGCAAACAATAGCACCAAGACGCAAATGAGGTTTATATTTATATATATATAAACCACCTCTTCCTCTGAGGTGCCAGATTATCTATTAAATCCTTCCAAGTACACACATTATAGTTGAAACTCATGCTGTGAAATGCATTGAGCATCCAACACCCAACCTTAAAAGAAATTCCTCCAAAAGATGAAGATGAAGTTGCAGCAGTCCACCATGCATGCATCAAATTGATGTTTAATAAGCTCTTAAAAATTTTCCAGGGAGGGAGATGGGCATGCGACGTATCTTATCAGCCATTGCGTTAATCAGGAAACCAACCTTGCAAACAAAGACGGTTATCTGAGTTACAGCTAACAAAGTCTAGTCAGGTACTACAAATTAGGATCCTCCATTTACGCGCCACAACTGCTACCAACTTCCTAGAATTACATTAGTACACCTGGTGTTTATGTTCGCTATAAATACCAGCATGCATCTTATAAGTTTCTTTAGAAGGCAAGCAAAAATCAGTCAGGTTACTTGTCGGTTCCCACATGCAGAAGACCAACAATCTTCTGTTCATAGTAATTTTGGCACAGCAGAATGCTCGTAACAGACAATTTGAGTTTTTGTTCTTGAAAAGGGCAACCATATAAAAGCAGCAGCATTATTACTCCTGATCTCTGTACAGCCTTGAGAAACCCAGGAAAAGGAAAGTCCCCCTACCAATTGTATCACCTAAACTAAGAGTAGCTCAAAAAGAAGGTGAAAAAAAAAAAAAAAGAAAGAAAGGAAATCTTTGGTAGAAAACTACTATAGATACAAAAGATTTACCTCAGCCTTCAATGAATCTGATTTGACCAATCAAACTATTCAGAGCCCTGGCTATAACTCATCCATTTCTTGACATATTTCTGTAAACTGAACTTGAGGACTATTAACTACTACAACTTATCAGCAATTCGTCCCAAGGCATCTGCAAGCTTGTGAAGTACAGAAATCAAGCTATTAGCTTGATCCTTCCGCTGCTCCCTATCCAATTGCAAGTGAACGTTCTGAGATTCTAGTTGGGAGCTCAGCAATTTACCATTCCTTTCAAAAGCTTCAATTAACTGATCATGCAGGCTTTTCATTTCATCTTGTTCATCAACTTCTGCAATATACCTCTTTCGTTTCTTTCCTTCCTGAGTGCTTCCTATCTCTGGGTTTAAAGAAGGTTGTTTCTCGAAACTGGTGCCTGCAACAAAACCCATCTCAGGAAAGGCAAAGCAAGCATCTACTTTTTCATTAATTATTCAACATATTATAAGCAACAATGGCCATATATCAGATGCTAGACAATAAAGATAAATATCTAATTACACACTCCCTTGTTCTACCTAGCTTGGTAGTTTATGATAACAAAACAAGACGTCAATATTTATAATGAATAAAAACGACCATCATTACGAAGTCAAGTCAGGTTAAAGGATCATAATCACAATCATTCCAACCCCATAAGATTCAAACATTTCAACATGCAGATTTAGCCACATTCTCAATTAGTCAAGTGAACAACTCTCTTTCTGGCGAGCTAAACTTTTCTATCTTCTAAACAGATGCAAGAAAGATACAAACTAGCTTGACCTTGTGGAAACTGGTCAGAGTTTGATCTTATGTTTCATAATAAAAATTCTCCCATTTTGACGGCAATTGGATACACATCCTGGAAAACTAGACAGAAATTTGTTTTACTTGAGCTGCAAGGCATTTCCAATGAGCAACTAAAGAAAACATTAGACAGGTTTGTAACAGTTGGGAGATAACGGAACATGCCTTGAGCAGGATGCCCTTGAGAGATTGGTTGATACTGCTTCTCTGCAAATTCAAAAAATGGAATATGAGGACAAGCAAAAAATTCAACAATCATAGTCACAGAGGAACAGTAACAACAAAATTAGCAGAGCATCAGGAAAGTTTTGGCATTGCACAACCATTTGAATCACCACGTGTGTTCTGTCTGAATTTTCCTCTCTTTGCATGATCCACAAACAGACGAGTTTGAAAATCAAAGAGATGTACTGAAGACCGTAGTGATAATCAAGTAAAAAAGAACTATAAAAGGGGGAAAGAATTATCATTCTTTCAAGCATTTGCATTCTATAATTGGACGGATGGCAACTTAAAGGAGATAGAATTACAAACACAGAATGAAATAAAGAAATGGATGAGATATTCTCCAATCACGTTTGTCTTGCAAAGAGAGACCACAGATGAAGGGAAATATACATTAGAAGGAAAAAAAAAAGAGGACAAAAGACAAAAAGGGCCAAAAAAAGGTAATAGTTAATTTTGCTTCATCAAACCCTATTCAATTTCATCAGGCATGTTGTTAAATAATAGGCCCTATAGGCAGCACAGATGTTATAATATGAACTGTTGTCGTTAGCAATTTTGAAGACAGTAAAGGTTCTGCTCATTGGTGGTATAAGCACCTTCGGGCTGACTGGCCACGACTAGGAAATTACTTGTCGTTTCCCAAGACGTATAGCATTCCCGCGGAACAGGAAAGGGAAAAAAAATTCATCTCCAATACTGAAGAAAGCAAAAAGAATCAGATTGCAAGAGTTCACGTGATACTTAACTCTCCTAAATCTCCTTCCTATACCTTCCTCGAATATAAAATGGCATGTGGAATTTATCTCGTGCAAGCCCTATCTTTTTTGTGTATTCTGCCATGTCAATTCAGGTCTTAGATGAGAAAGAAGAAATGTTAAAAGGAGGACACTTTCCCTCCCTTCCATGCTCCTATCCAAGACAATATTTAGGGGATAAATTTAAAATAAAATAAAATAAAGGCAAATGATTTCTCCTCAATTCACCTCACCTTATTTTGTCTACCTTAGTTTGAAACAGAACACAGTAAACTACAAAATCCCAACATAGCCCATGAAGGTTTCAGTTGTGTTCAAGACTCAACTTTTATGTATCCTCTAACGTCTGCGGACATAAGTGGACAAGTGGCTCATGAAGATACATTTTAAACACTATAATAATTTGTCATTCACAAATTCAAATACTTCTTAAATGATCTAAACAACTATAGCGATTTAAGATGATTTCAAATCCTTTGTCAAATTTCTCAATCCAAACGAAGCCAAAAGGAATAAGCAAGACGAAAAAGATTAAGAAGGCTTTTGTCAGTATAAATTGAGAAGTCAGAGAGAAATTTTAATCCAGCTTTTTTCAAAAAAAGAAGGGGTTTGGGGGTGGGGGCGGGGTCTAACACTAAAAGCTGACAGCAGTTAACAGTACTAAAGACCTGAAATTGGAGTAGGAGCCGGAACAGCGGTAACGGGAGTCTCGTTAGCCGGCCGGAACTCCTTATCCGGGCTACCCACAACCTCCTCCTGAACGGACTGGTCAAAATCAGAGAACAAGCCATCGTCAGCTGCAGCGCTCCGACCACTGTCAAACACAGCCTCTGTCTCAGCGTCGGCCTCCTCAGGACCCTCGGTGGCAGAGGGCGCCAAAGCCAAAACTAGCTCTTCTGCTCCCTCCTCAGCGGCGGGGGTGGCACCATCGGCCCGGCCTCCGCCGTCGAGAATATCGTAAACCTCTCTATCGAAGAATCCGGGAAGCTTCCTCTCCCTCCTCAAATCATTCCTCATGAGCCAAAACGAGTCGGTTTCTTCCCTTATCTGAGACTCCCACTCTTTGATCTTCTTAAAGTCCCCAGCCAGATTGCTCCATCTCTTCCTGCACTGGACGGGGCCGCGGTTGACGCCGTGCCTCTTGCAGTAAGAAGAAACAGAGGCCCATTTGGGCTCGACGTGGGCGGAGCCGAAGGCGAGGCCGGCGGTGCGGCCTCTGCGGACGCGGTTCTCGGCGACCCTTTTGCCCTGAATGAGGACGAGGATTTCTTGGCGGGTCCAGCGGGGGAGCCTGGGGACTTTGGCGGAGTCGTCATCTTTGTGGGGGTCGAGGGCGGTGGTGGGGGGTTGACGGCCGTTGAGGGCGGCGGTGGAGGGGGAGGGGGAAGGGGAGTCAGAGTGGGGAGGAGCAGCAGCCACAGCGAGGCTCAATTGTTCTAAGGCCATCTGGCAAAAGCAGACAGTTCGGGGCTTTTGTACTCTCTCTCTCTCTCTCTCTCTCACACACACAAATCTCAATCTGGGTTTTTGATTGTTTTGTTGATTGTTGATTAAAATCGTAAAGGCACGTAAACACGTGACTTAAGACTCAACGGGAAACGGAGTGGATTTAGGGTAACGGCGTTTCTGTTTTTATGGTTTTGAGGAACCCTTCCCAAAACCCAAACCCATAGTCCCAAACCCACTTTGCGAGAGATGCTTACCTATCTATTCAAAAGTAGTAGCAGACTATTTAAGTAACTTTTCCTGTATCTAAATATATCTTCTAATAGAGTAGTAATATGGCGACTAAGGAGGGAAGGGGGAAGGGGAAGTGGGGAAGGTGTCTTCCTTCCTTGAGGAAGTTATGCTTGTGGATGATGATGGTGATGAGAGACGGAGGGAGTCTAGGACGACTCGACCAGACCAAAAAGCCTGGGAAGGGTTCCTCTTTCTTTCTTTCTTTCTTTTTTTTTTTCCTTCTCCTTTCTTTGGTTTTGTTGGGGTACACCGTACACTTACACACTGCTAGTGCTAGTGCTAGTGCTAGTGCTGGTGGTGTAGTGATTAAGAGAGCGGGTTCGTTTTTTTCCCCAAGAAATCTTCTTGCTTGCCTGTGGATTTGACATTTATTTTTGGGATGGTGATGATGATTAAGGTGATCATGGCTGTCTTATCTTTTTTTATAATCATCTTCTACCATTGGTCTTCTTGGTGTTAAGTGTGATTTTCCCCATGGCCGTGGGAATTCTTTGCATGTACTGTACATATATATAACCTATGAGGAAGACCAATGCCATTAATTTATTCCCGCGGCCACAATTAAGTTACTTCCCACGTTGGATGTTTGAAAACACGCTTACGTTTATAGGGCTCCCTCCCTATTGCTACTCTGACAAATTATCATTAGAGGTCACTTTCTTTTTGTTGATGCGTTTACAATTTACACACGCATTTTAGTTGCCACTCTTTCTTTCTCTTTCTCTTATATATATATACATATATATATATATATGTGTGTGTCTATTAAATTTACATATGATTTAACCGATCTCGTCAAACTTTCTAGTACTAAATTATATATATACAGTTTTATCAACACCTAATCCTTGGTCATGACCCTTTCCCTAATCTTTGGTCATGATGATGCACATCTTTCTTTCTTTTATTTATTCTTTCTATTTCTTTGGGATTTGTTTTTTTTTTATAAACAATAGTCGAGTGGGGGCGGAAGGAGGGGTAGTATAGGTTTACACATGATATGAAATAATACTACACTACTACTCCTTATCCTACTTAGGCAAAAATAAATAAATATATATAAATAAAAAGCAAAAGAAAAAGAAAAAGGTTGATGGCGTTGGAAATTGGATTGGTAAGGGCACCTTATCCTACCATTTGAGTAAAATCCTCTCTCCACTTTATATCATTTCTTCTCCACCTTTCAATTTTCATATCCGGAAGCGGGAGAGAATCATTAGCCATACAAATCTCATTGCTTATTGCTTATTATCAATGGTCCCTCCATATATGTAAAGGGCCACCTTTTTGGCCATATTGGAATTGGATGAGTTAGTGCCCCGATTGTCCTCCCATTAAGTAATTTCTCATTATTGCCCTATGTGCAATTATGCATCTCTCTCTCTCTCTCTCTCACATCTATATTATTGAAGTTAATTGCTTGGCTTTGTCCTCAATCTCAATCAAAGAGCGCAATTATAGTGCTAATCATGATCGCAAAAAAACGGAAGCTTACACAGATGGGTTTGGAATCACTCTGCTCACTTCTTCTTGTCATTAGTCTAATGGAATTAGGAAGGTTGAGTTGGGACTTGGGGGCCATAAACATAGGCCGGGGGGTAGAGAGTCAGTATAGGGTCGCATTCAGCTATTTTCCCCATTGGGTCCCAAGTTAAGTTGGACGCCTTTTTGAGACCCGCGGCTTCCCACTCCCACCCAAAGAAACCAAAAAAAAAAAAAAAAGGGAAATTAGTTACTTGTAGTACTTTCTCTCCAGTTCTTCACTGTTTGGTAAGCAGCAGCCATCCGCACGAAATGCTGCGCTGAAGCATTTATGCACGAACGTTCATCTGTTTCTCAACAGGAATTGTAGTCCCCTTAAACCGATTCGGCCTTTCCATTTAAAAGTTCGAAATGGTACCTTCAAAAACTTGGCATCACCTGGATTACGCACTGCCTCTACAAAATACGCAAGAAGATTAAACACCCGACGCTGTATTGTGTCGTGCTCTGGGATGAGATGCGAAATTAATCAAGAATTCGAGGTTTGTTCTTCCAAAAAAAAAAAAAGGGTCAGCGGTTTACGTGACCATTCCATTTCCATAAACCCAAACCATTTTATTCCTAATTTCTCAAGTCAGGCCATCACAAAATGGGTAAATGATGAGCTCAGTTCCCTAATTTCTCCAGGGACCTTCAACTCTACTTGAACAAAAATCCTCAAGAATTCCAAAACTTGCAAAGGTGCGCAGCCTAGTACAAGCGTTTTCGGCAATCTTCTGCTCCACAATAGCATGGCTGCACCTTTACCTCACCATCGCTGCCAATGACACTACCAAGTGGATAGCCATAGTCATACGTGAGTTCCTGTTTGCGGCAAAGCAATTCATTTGTTACGTTATTACAATTGCCTTTGGAACAAAAAGAAATGAAAAGAGCCATTCAACTGTGTTACGGGGAACACACACTCTAATTAAAGAGTAGATAACTAAAGAGTGATATGGGTTTTAAGTACTAGGAACCTAAAAGCTGTGGTGAGCTTTGATTATTAAGACAGCAGTGCTATTGAGTCCGTCCTGCTTGTATTAACAATTTTCAACTCCACTGCGCATCTTTGTTAGGTAACCAGACGCTCACAGCTGCCACAATACATATTTGCTATAGCTCTATCTCAATTCGACATTCATTCAACAGCCAAGCTTTTTTTTTATACTCAAAACTAACGCATCTTGCTTCAAACAACAGCATGAAATGCTTAAGACAAATTATTACCACAAGTATTTCACCCGAGTCTTATATATCACAGAATTAGATAGAGTGAAATACTATTTTTTTCCAAAATTTTATTTTTTATTTTTTCTACCATGGGAGGTGTGGGATTTAAGAAGCGGGGAGGGAGCAAGGAGATTAGAACCCAGGACCTTCAATTCCTAGGGCCTCAACCACATCATTGTTGCACGCATCATACTACGAGGTGGAATGAATCACGAAGAAGAACAATGCTGCTGACACTAGGCTGTGCTGTATTTTTATTTACACTTACAGATTTGATTTTTTTTATTTTTTTTTTATTTTTGGTAAAAACAAATTTATGCAACAAAGAAAGCATTCCCACCTTACAACAAACAAGCTATAAATCTGTCTTAAAGTAATAGCAACATGATACCTGCCATGGAGAAATGCTTCTAGCAGCAAACAGAACAATACGAGCAAGTCGGAAATCGTGGTGCGTGCTCAAAATGCACTGGACAAAGAGATTTGGCTCACAGCTGTGGTTGACGAACCTAGAAACGTTCCCTATATGGTTTGCATCTATGCAAAATTCTGGAGTCTTTTCTAAATATCCATCCTCTATTTTCTCAATATTGTCACATAGAGATGTTGATACTGCTCCAAATCGTCTCTGAAACAAAAAAAAAAAAAAAGGTTTAATTTGACAGTTGAATGCTCATAATATGCCTATGAAACACAATGGAAAGCGAATGCAATAAAATAAGCATTATGCAAAAGACAAAACAGATATTTATACACTCCTCCAGGGCACCCTCTCTCTCTCACACACACATACATTTGTAACTTGTAAATGGGCAAACTATGGTACTTTACACTCATCAGTTGTCCTGATTAAGTCCCTCGTATTTTACTGATAACATCGTTGGTCCCTCATAATTAGTCTCACATAATTTTTGTCCCTCATTTTCTATTATCGCCATATTCAGTCACATCAACAAGCTATCCAAAGACAATATACACTATAGGAAATAACACAATCCAGAAACAACAAGGACCAAATCAGTCCAAGTTAAGCTACAAAGTGAAACTAGTCCACATACTAAGGGGCTACAAAATCTGTAGTCCTCCCATCATGAATTCAGTTAAAGAGTACCTATATATTCACACACAGGAGTTCATCCTGTAATCAAAATTGAGTATACTTTGTACCAGGCAATTCAGCTTTTAAGATCTCATCATGCATTGAACTTAGGAACGAGTGCAGATTATGTAGATCAAACAAAATTCTCAAACTTTTCCAATTACATCATTGCATAAAATCCAATGAACCTTTTTCAAATTCAGAGAAAGTATGAAGCCACCCTGACAGAAAAAAGCGGGGGAAAAAGAAAAGAAGAAAAGGTTTTCACATCTCAAATAAATATACCTCTCTTCCTTCAATGCCCTTCATGGTATGCAAGCAATCAATTTCGAATATATAATCATTAACGTCAACTTTATCCAGCTCATCCGTCCGTCTAAGAATACCTACATATTCACAAACAGGTGCACCAGATGGAATGAAGTCTTTAGTCCTGACAGCCCACCCTCTATCCAGTGTGCGAAAGACCTGCAACCAAAAAAAAAAAAAGGCAAAAAAATCCTTTTATTAGAGATTCCTGAAACCCTTTTGGATCATTTCATATCATTACATGCACATTACCTCAAGTTGATACTTTATTCCCCGTTGAGATATACGATTGATGCAATCAGGTCCACAGCCACAATTGGGTCCACATTCAAACACAACATCCTTTGCTTTTCTCAATCTGGAATGCATTGGGTAAATAATTGTGCTTTTTAAAGAAATAAACAACCCAAAAACTATAACAGGACAGGCGATAAGGTACAACCTGCTTTATGTTTTATGTAGTTTAAAGCAGCAAAATTCCAAGATAACTAAGTTCCTATTTATAAGGAACTTAGCAGCCCAACCACATTTGTAGACTTTGCCAACTTAAGGAAAAGAGGTAAAGGTAGAAAGGAAGGAAAAGAACATGAAGTTTGACTACATATCACTGATTTCCTAAGGTGGATTTTTTGACATTCAACAGGCTAATGTAAGACCTGTTTGGGCGCCAAACAGGGACATGGATGGTAATGAGTTAGAAATGCATGACTAACAATTACCATGACAACTAAGACATAACTAGAAGCACTGCAACTTATTTTAGCTTGCCCAAGAACAAATGAGAAAAAATAGCCACCTTGCACATGTTACTGAAAGTGGCACCTAAACATCCCACCTCATGCTTGTGTACCATTGGTCAATTCTACGAATCTTTCAACCATTCCATGACAGATCTCAGAAAGCAGGTAAGGCCAAAAGCCTATGGCATATCCAGGCCCCTGCCATAACAAGCTTTTCTTGTTAGACAATCCAAGGCGGTTGGCAGGTGATTAACTTGCCTCTGTTTGCGACTGTTTATGCAAGCCAATAAAATCATTTTGGCCATCAACTAACTTAAATTTCCTATGATTTATACAGCATTCACCAGTGGCAAAACCCAAGAGGATCCTTTTGATCCGTTCAATCCAGTATTCAAGAGATATGAGAATCGTTTATAGGTGGCAATTGGGCAGCTTGGGTTGACTTTGGGCAGGTCAATAATGGGTTTAGTCTCTCAAGTGTTCAGTGGGTTACTCTTGGGTCGGATCTGGTTGGGTTAAAACCAAATGCCCCACTATGACCCAACTGAAATGGAAAAACATGTCATGTTTTAAATCACCAAACAAACTTCATAAGATAAGAAAAGAACGAATTCTCAAAATCAATTGCATTTTACCGACGAGAGAATCTTTGTCTTTGGTTCTCCCTGTCGAGCTCGTATTGACCCCGTGCCTCTTGGGAAACTTGAGAGAAAAGTGCTTCCCGGGCCTTCCTACTATATGATGCTGTGTGTGTATCATTTAGGCGTCTTCCACTATTTAATCGTGTTGCTTCTATCTTTTTCCTTTCTTTTTTTTTTCTTGAAAGAGCTTCTATCTTCTTTATTAGATAATTCATAAGCTGTATCTTCTTTATTAGGGTAAAACTTTGCATCCATTACACCACAAATGATTTTGGCACTTAAAAAAATTTTATACCTCCATATGCATTATATTTTAATAATTTGACAAAAAAATGCCCTTGGATAAAATATCTAAGAATAATAACAATGCCATAACTATGCTACCTATGTAGCAAATAAGGCAAGTTACATTTATCTATGATGAGAAATTAACTATATTATGTCATAAAAAAGAAAAATTTAGGCAAACTATCTTACCAGAGAAATGAAAAAACATAAAATCAAAAGAATCTCATAGAATGAAGTTGAACTTTTCAATTTTAGTGTACTTAGCATATATTTACCAGAAGAAGATGTAAGAAATTAGCAGCTTAGAAGTACAAAATAAAAAGAAAAAAAGAGACAAAATAAACTAAAATAAAACATTTATTATAAGGTACTACATTTGTACCTGTCAATTTCATTGATTATAGCAGTGTTTTTATTTAATATGGCATGATTATCTTAAGATATGTATATACCTGTCAATTATAGTTGAATCCCTGCTGTGAACAATTGATTTAGGCCAAGTCGTGTTGAGTTTGATTATAAAAAATTTCAAAACGGTAGCTAGTGATATTAATATATATAGGTTTATGTAATTGCATAAAAATTAGTGCTGAAATTTGTATTCTCCATTGCTAGTATGTAAACTATGAAGTGACCCAAAAAAAAAAAAAAGAAGTTAATAGCGATTACACTGTAAATGGAGAATTATAATTGCTTTGTCCGTAAATGGAATAATAGCTTTTCTTTTCCTAATCAAGTTCTGAAGATATAATTGCTTTGTCTGTTCTACATATTCCCTGTTTTATCCAAAAATGCTGGGAGCTTGATAAATAAATTCATTTAGCAACATGTCATGTGAAAAAGAATTCATTTAACTACTGTTCGTAAGAGCTTATGTAATCAAAGTTAGCAAATTGCCGCTGATTTTGCTGTATACCACAATTCATGCATGGGTCAATAGGGTGCTCAAATTAAAACCCAACCCCCCAAAACATGGTTGGGTTTTGTCCACCCAACCCAAAAGTAACCCACAACCCAACTGACCCAACCCAATCTTCAAATCTAGTAGGTAGGTTGGGCGGGTTTGTGGGTTTCAGGTTAAATTGCCAGGCCTAGAATCATTCAAAGGACATATGGCTCAAACCTCACCTGCCACCATTATGACGTACATAAGGAAATTTTGAATCATTGAGCCGAGCACAAGCACAATATTTTGGGTGTATGCAATTCCCCTTGCACCTGCATCCATCAGCATTAGGAGGAAGGTCCACATTTTCTGCGACTTGGATAGACCTGGAATATGTAAACCCTGCAGAATATTGAACTAGAAAGCATCAAAACTGTGTGGCAGGCAAGAAATACATCAGAAGTCGTTTAATGCATGATTAATCTTTACTTATCCCAGGAATTAAAAGTTAGTAAAGGATGACCTTAATAGCTTAGGTCATGTCTAATAGGACCTAATAAGAATCTAGAAATAAATTTACTCACCCGTAACTGGAATGTAAAAAATGAATAAAGATCAAGCTTTTTCTTTTCATGTTTTTCAGGAATTCCTTTTTGTTTCAGCTAGATATAAATGTAACCTTTCATGTCCAACACATGCAAACTTTTTGTGCTATGAGTTCCTAAGGTACAAACTAATACATATTATACTTCAAAAAGAGTATTAAGGTTAAGAAACTGGATGATACTCTTTCCGTAAAACATACATGCCCATTGGAGTAAAAGAAACAGCTTTGATACTAAAGGATGGTATCTGTTAAACATGCACCATTTTACACACCTTAAGTAAATATAGACATCAAAGACAATTTCGATAGGGGTCAAAGACAATGTCAGATGACCTGACCACTCAGAAAGCACTCAAAGAAATTATTACCAAAAAATAGTAATGACAATGATGATAACGCTGATAAGAATTGTAGTGACCATGAAGAAACTAAGTGCGTAAAAACATGTAGCAGTTTGGAATTAGACTGTTTGCATAATGCCAAGTGTACAAGAGGAAGTATGTAACACTAGGTCAAGATTGGTGAAGCTAGTCTTTATATGGTCAATTCAATTTGCAAAGCAATTACTGGCCATGCACACTTAACACCATATCGGTAAGCCAATCCTAGCGCATTACTATGCCTGAGCGAGATGAAAACTAACATTATCCCAAATAAAACAAGAAGCATGTCCGCAAATGATTCAACAATTGCATGCCGCAAATCCTTTGAAGACATGATAGCAACTATTGGCCATTCAAACCAGAATAATTTCATCAAAGCCTCTGTCTAATCTCTCTTTCAAAACTAAAAAAATTGGGTAGTTTATAAGAAACATCAGGGTGACTAGAAAAGACATAATCAACCTATAATCATAGTGAGCTAAAACATGCAAACTGTTTTACTCGCTAGCAATTTTCATTAACAACGATTTTGATCCCAAACTACCAAATTACTGAATTAACTTACCGGTAGCCGCAAAAGGTGTGTCATCAACCAAATTAATAACAGGAATCTTTATTTCTTCTTGACCACCAGAAATATCCACCAATAGCATCCTTAATGGAAGAAAGACTCATTTTATTACATTTATACAAAATTTATCCAAAGAGACGTTAAGGTGGCCAGTGAAACTATCTTACCCACGTAACTTACGAGAAGCCACCAATGTATGTTTCTTAGTGAAAAAAACCTGCAGAAAAAACATTGGTGTATGTCAAGTGGGACAAACTGCAAAACTTCAATCCCACTTATTGGCTACATTTTCTAACAGATGTCCAAAATGTAGTCAACAGCCTGCTTTATGATGCAGGAGTGTAACCTCTGCTTGCATGACTATCTGTAGCTATTATTTCTTTTAACTCAATATTCATTTTCCAAAAGTCAGTGACTTTATTACAAGCATTTCAGTCATCTACTGTTATTAAAGATGATACAGGCTGCTTCTGATGTAACTTGCGATCTGTGCAATGTGTTTCAATACCATTAAGTTTTCAGAATTATCGGTTTGGATAAAATTCAACCAAGAATTCACGTTTGACATTTTATACTGTTCATATTGCTATTTTTCCCCTTGCTAGAACATTGCTGCACAAGTTGACAAAGACTTTCAATCACAAAATGAAGAGTTCAAACTTCATAATATCCCCTCATGACAAAACAAAAAGGTTCTATAAAAAAAATATGCGAGGAAAAGAACAAATTGCAGATATCTCAATGCTAAGAAAAGTGCAGTTACAAATGAGAGATTTGATTATAGGTAGGAAAGCAGAATAACTGGGAACCAGAGGAATTGTTGAAGGAAGCATACTAGGGAGAAGAACAATGCATTGGTTAATTTCATACAGATGGCAAGATTAAGTATTGTCAGGATCTAATGTAATTTGCCTGCTCATGCACAAATCTTACAGAAAATATAAAGGATTGGTATAGAAACCAATAAAATCAACATATAAGCATCTTGTCGTACTTTCCAACAAACAAGACAAAATATTCTGAAGGGACATTTTGCTTACCGTTGGATTCAAATCTCTAGTGTTGTTCTGAAGATTTCCCTCCTCTTTATTCTGCATGATTTGTTCTCCCTACAAATGTATGATACCCTTTTTAGGAAAATATAATCTAGTCACCTTGCAACATGCAGAAAAAAAAATACTAAGTCACAGTAAAGCAAAAGTTTATCAATTATCATCTTAACTATGAAAAAGAAAAAGAATGTTTAAGACTCTGTGTTTTACTTGGATATCTTGTTTGAAGTTTCAATTTTTGACAATTGAGTAACAATTAAATTTTGCATAAATTTATTTCTCTAGTAACATCCCACAGAAATATCAGGTTTCTAATAATCATTATCTGGGAAAAAATTTAAAAACATAAATGTCACTTGTTAAATTGTTTTAAGTCCTGTGAGAACGTTAACAAGGTGGGATCACCTGAACAGGCTGAAGATGATGTGCATCAAATGTTCCTGTTGTCGCTTTCACCAACGCATGGGAACTCTTTCCATCACCACGCAGCGAGAGACTATAACTTTGCAACCAATTGTTATTAGATGCCTCAGCAGGAGTGCATTGGAGATCACCAGCTTCATTGCCAGCAGATGATGTATCATCAAGACTTGTAGTTCCTGAATCATTTACAGAATCTCCACCTGCAGCATTCTGAATAATTTCATCTAGGGGATCTCCCTTTTCAACATAAGCAGATTTATATTCTAATTTGGTAGCAGGAATTGTGGGTTCTCCATTCACATTCACATCCACATCCACATCCACATCCACATCCACATCCACATCATTAACCTGGATAACGTGGTTGAGATTACAATCAGCATCTTGCACGCCAGCATGGAAGGCGTGGTCATCGTCATCGTGGTGTTGTTGATGTAGCAGCTGTTGTTGCCGTGAAACTTTGAGGGAAGTGCCATAATAAGGTCGCTTGCTTTGAGGAATGTCCTTTAGGCGCGGGCTACATCTCCTCTGGCGCTGGCCAGAACATTTATCTAAAAGAACAGCTCTTTTCACGCGAGCTGTGGTCGTAGGTGATGCTTGGCTTTGAATTTCACCATCAGTGAAAAGTTGTTTTGAATCCATTAAGTTCTGCAGTAAATCTATCTTCAAAGAAAAAAAAAACGAATGGGAAGAACAACGTCCAGAGTCACGAGGATTGTGTATGCATAAAAAATTTTCCCTCCTCTGATAATAGGCATTATGAATTGAGCACCAGTAAAAATGGAAAAGTGCACGGCAGAACAGACATGAAACACATTGAATTATATAAATACTGAGAAGTGAGAACTGAATAAAAGGAGTCCGCTTTAATAAAAGTTGTGCTCTGTTGAGAAGGATGTTATACAGTAGCCCGTCCTGGAGAAGAGCATCAATCGAACAATCAATTTTCATTCATTCTTTTCCAATAATAATCCGATGACATCCGATTTCCATTCCCGATTACACGCAGACAAACAAGAGCGGCGGAACCCCAACCAAAAAAAAAAAAAAAAAGTGACCAGAGTCAAAAAGGAAAAAAAAAATTGAATTGCGCGTTGATACCGATTTTAATGGATAATGTGGGTCGAAAAACGGGGAGATGCTGCTGAAGCCGAACCGCCGACAGCTTCTGTGAGTGAACGAAGAGTGTAGAATCGCAGCAGAGCCGCCCACTTCCTCCCCCCTCTTCACTCTTCTCTCCGGTTGTTGCCACTGTGCCTCTGGGTCTCCAATTCTCAATCTCCTTTTCTTTTCTTTCTTTTTTTGTGCTTTTACTGTTTTGTTATTTTCCTCTTTTTATTGGGAAAGCCGCCAATTTAGTCCTCAAACTATTTCACTAAAACCGATTTGGTTTCTTAATATTTTATCGCATGAATTAAATCCCTTAAATAAAATTCTTATGCCAATTGAGGACTTATACGGTATCACCACCCAAAACACATGTTTCTGTACACAAATCAACGGCCAGACAAGGGCTTTTTTGGAAGTATACAATAGAATTTCTACGAGAAGTAAGACACCGGCCATTTTGCATCCAAATTGAGGGAAACCTTTGAAGCGAAATCGGAGATTTCACTCAATTTCACTCCTCTTCTAGATGTCATTTCGTCTGTGTTTTTTGATCCAACGTTTTTCTTGGATCATTCTCCATCCAGTCCCTATTCACTGATCTCGATTTCCCATAATAACCAGCCTAGATAGTCACCTGTTTGTTGCTATGATAAGAGGACGGAAACCCACATATGGTCCAAAACTCTAAATCTGAAGGATTGTTTTCGGCTACTTTATTGCTTATTTGCATCGAAAACCTTGAGCTTTAGGTGAAAAATCTTTCTGGGTTTTGATCAGTTGAGAATTGTACCATGCCATCTAGATTTTTGGGCTTCGGTTACATGTGTTTTAAAAGTCAAAATCTGCCGTGAATTCAGTTTTTAGTATTACATTTGAGGCTAAAAATATAAGTTTTGGTTATGTTTGATTGAAGTTTGTTCTTTTTTGTGAATTAATTTTAAAAGGGCCGTTTTTGCTTTCTGGGAATTGGAGGTTTCTGAAAAGAGGAAAAAGATTATCTTTGTTGTTTGGGAATGATTGATGGGTTCGGGTGGGTTCTTCATGATATGTATTCTGCATTCTTTGGTGGCCTTGAGCTGTGGAGGCGTGATGATGTTCCATAGTTACGAGTTCCTTGAATTCAGCCACAGGAGAGACCATGCCAATAAGTTCGCAGGATCAACCCCTCATGATCAGCTGTTAATCCGAACTTCGGATTCATTTTCAGGGTTGTTATTGTTTGCAATTGGTTTTCTTTTGCTCATGGTAGCTTTTGTAAAGAACAGGGACTTTCAGAGCTATTTTGCCAGGGGGTGTGTGCTTCTCCATTCTCGGCCGCAATTTGGAGAATATATACTTCGAGAGGAAGCTTGAAGTCCTCGGCCGTGATTGGCTTCAAAGGTTTCCCCAATTTGAATACAAAATAGTCGGTGTCTTGCTTCTCGTATAAATCCTACTATGTACTCCAAAAAAAGCCCATATCTCGCCATTGGTTTATGTATAGAAAACATGTGTTTTGGGTGGCAAGACCGTATAAGCCCTTAATTGGCACAAGAATTTTGGTTAAGGGAATTAATTCATGCGATAAAATATTAAGGGACCAAATTGGCTTTAGTAAAATAGTTTGAGAACTAAATTGGTGATTTTTCCCTTTTTCTTTTCCCTTTTGAGTTTTGACAGCCTAGTTTGGTTGTAAGACTCGAACTGATTCTACTCTTGAATTTGGTAAATTTATCTTTTTAAGTTTCCTCCAACAGAAGTGGAAAAAAATGGACATGGTTGCAAAATTTGTGACAGATTTACAAATTTATGTTCATTTGCAATCATTATAACTAGAATTTTGCCCGTGCAAAAGTACGGTCTTTTTTTATTTATTGTGAAGTTATATAAATATAAATAATTTAAATATAAAAATTAACAACATTTCTATATGTTCATTCATATTAATTTTAAAAAAATAATGTATTTTAAATGTTCAATTATTTATTAATTTTAAAATTTTTTATTTATTGTGAATTTATACAAATATCAATAATTTAAATATAAAAATTAGCAATAGTTCTACATGTTCATTTAAAAAATTAATGTATATTAAATATTCAATTATTTACTAATTTTTAAAAATTTGTTTGCATACTTTTACTACAATATAATAGTATACATCAAATAATGTACCCTATATCAAAAACTTCGTTGATATTTCTTTTGTATAAATATTCTTTTAGATAATTTAAATTTGCATAATCTGTATCTATATAAATTTGAGAAGGGGTTTTTAGTATGGTTAAGTCAGGAAGCTTCAAACTCTTCATTCTTTTTTTCATAAAATTTTGAATTTTAAAAATTATAATATATCCTGTCATGCCTTTTGAATTTAAAAAGTGAGAAGTGGCTCTACTTACATAGGAATTTAGTTTGAAGTCTATTAATGTGAATTTAAATAAAAAGAAAACATCACCAAAAAACAAAAAGTATAAAAGTAAATAATAATATTTCCCTTCAACTTAGTAATTCTAACTAAGAGGGCAAATTATATAGAAAATGAAAAGGAAATACTATTCATTGGTCATGGATTTAAAAAATTAAGAATGATACCATTCATGAAACCTAAACTACGAAATCACTAACTAAAAAACAAAGTACTACTAGCATTTATATATGAAAATTTTTGTTTGAAATCTTTATTTTTGACAAAAATAATAATAATAAAAACAACACCAATTCTCCCCAAAATTAAGAAAAAAACAATAGAATATGGATTCAACTTCTCATTTGAAATTATTTAATTCAAAATGTATATGAAAAATAATTAAATTTGGTGTTTTTATACTTTTGTATTGAATTTTCATTTTATATTTTACTCACCAATTTCACTTTATAATAGTGTGTGTTGGAATTTTTTTTTTTTTTTTGTAATTGTGATTGGCATTTCTCACATCTATTGATCTGAGAGTTCTAATTTTTTCATTTTTTATTCAAAATATAGCTTTCCTCTTATCATTCTTCCAAACCCTTGGATAGCCCCCAACCTCTATCTTGCATGGCCAACTTCCTCAATATCCCTTTATTTTAGTTCCTTCTTTTTGTTCTACCCGTCCAATTAGAACAAAGTAATATCACAAATTTTCATTCTAAAGATATTATGCTATAAAATATATAGTTTTTCTTATATATTTATAAGAATTACATACATATAAATGTATATAAGGAAGAAAATAGTGAGGAGTTAAAAATGGCCAAAAGAATCGAAAGAGGAAAGTAAATAACAATATTGTGCAAAGAGATAAGGAAAGGAAAACGGGAATTATGCAAATATGACAGAGATGGCAAAAAACGACAGAAAGGATGACATTCCGATAGGACGTGTAAAAGTCATAGAAGACAGTGAATGACCGGTTGACAAAAAATAAAGAACGGAAAGGGTAATAGATTTTAATAATTCTAAAAACTGTATTTTATATCTCACAAAGATTTTTTTGTAATCTATGTTAAAGTATATGAAAAACACTATTCTATGAGCATTCAACAATTTTAAAGGTACAAGATGGGAGAAAAACAGTGAGAACCAAAGCAGTAGGAGTTCATACGTCTAAATCATACGCTTTCCATAATTTTCTGTTCCTTAAAGGCTCCTAAAGACTAGAAAGAATGTCTTTTCTTTCACCTTTTTTTTTTCTTTTTCTTATCAAATCACAACTCCCAAACTAACTATTAGGGATAGAAATTGAAAGGACGGTCCTCTAAGGAGACAATAAAATATTCATTGATTGGATTTTAACATGTTTCTAAAACGATGGGCCTGTTTGGCCAATGAGTTTTTGCCCAACTTTATTTTCTACCAGTTTTATTAACAATTTTATTTATAATAATCTCAAAAAACTTTTCAAATCTTTTAAATTACACACCTCAAAATGCAAAAAGCACACAAAAAAAATTTTGTTTCATCCTTTTTTCTTCCTCCCTACATCAACCCACTATCACCTTCAGTGCCGGTCATCTCTTTCATTTAAGTTTTTTTTTTCTCTTCTCTTTTTCCCTCTTCTCCTTCCTCTCTCCCCTATTCCCTGCCACCTCCCCCCTAGATTGCGTGGGGGGGGGAAGGGGAGGAGGTGAGGGCGAGAAGGGAAGAGAGGTAGCGGGGAAGGGAAAGGAGGAAAGAAAGGTGGCAGAGAAGAGGAGAGTGGAGGAGGAGAGGAAGGGAGGGAGAGAGGGACGGGGAGGGGGAGAGAGAGAAAAAAAATTTTCTGCTATTGTCAACGGCCGGCAATTGGTGAGGTAACAAGGAAGAAATCCAAAGGAAAGAAAAAGAAAAGGAAAAAGAAAGAAAGAAAAAGAAAAGAAAAGAAAAGAAAAGAAAAAGTTTTACATATTACTACAAATTTTTCTTATAATTTTTACAGTAAATTAGTAAAATTTTGGATAAATACCCAAAAAACTTAATATTATCAAACGGGACGGTTACCTCACCGAAACAATTCACAGCCACTGAACTCAATTGATATGCAATTTAAACTGGGATCTGTACATGGACCAGAAATTTAAATGCTAAATTACTAATTTGTGCTGCCGTCACCAAAACTCCTAAACCACCTCAAAGGGTTAGTTGGGTAAGTAGGCATATGTAGTTTAGTAGGCAAGCCCACATTTCGTTTTTAAAAAATATTATGGGGCTTGCATCATAAATAAAAAATTTTAACCAACATTTTGTATTTCTGGCCATATTTCGATTTTATTCTTTACGCACGTCGTATTATAAAAAAAGTGTTACTACCATAAATATCCTACATGAACACGCCCATTTAGTGTGTTCGGTTCAATGAAGAAATATCTTGTGATGATTTATCCAACAACGAAGAAAGGGACGAATCATCATAGGATAATATGGTGGCATATGTTTAGCCATGAGTGTAAGATTATTTTATCTGGTTAGCAGGGCTGGCAGTGGCAGGAGGAATTGGACAGAAAAATCTCTTCCCATTTTTTTTTTTTTTTTTGGATAATCTGGAAAATCTCTTTAGATTGAGAGTTTTTAATTATAACGTAACGGCGTAAAATGAATTAACGGCGAACGGCCCCCAAAATCCAAATCTAGGAATACGCTGAGCTACGGGCAGCCTCATGATTCATGATGGACCAGGAAAGATGATTTGTCAATTTCTTAATTTTCTTTTGTATTTTAATCGTATTTTTATTTAAATTTACAGTGCAACAGGCTACCAGGGCCAGGAGGGGTATTTACTTCTTTATTTATATTTTTAACTTTATGGATGAGAAAAGGGTGTTGCCGCCGGTGATCGGGTTCCTGGTTTCTCGTGTTCCTTGCCTAGGAGTAGGAGTGGGGGGTCGTGCTTTTTGATGGGCGGTCTTCTCTCCTCCTTTTCTTCCTTTGGTGTCCGTAAACTGACAGAATAGTCCCTCGGGGAGGGTGGGTGCGTGGGTGGGGGAATACGGTCTATTTCCCGTCCAATTCAACACTCAATTCCATTACAATTTCCCGATCCATCATTTCCCTCCTGTCTCTATATTACTGTTTTTGTTTTCTAATTCAAGTTTTGTTAGTTATTGTAGCATAATAACAAAGGTTTATATATATATATATGGAAATATAAATAGAAATACAAAGTAGTTTTCTCCCTCCTCTGTTTTCCTTCCTGGCAAGCAGCTACTCTTCCAACAACAACAACAACAACAACGACAAACAGGGGGGGGGGAGGGAGAGAGAAAGAGAGAGAGAGGAGGGAGAGGGCAAGGTTGCGGTTTCCGGTTTATTCTTCGTCGTCGGTGATCGCCGGAGACTCCATAGATTCCGATCGGGGATGAGAGGTAGCTCAGGGTGAAGCGGAGAGAAGACAGGTAGACCGACAGAGACAGACCAGCCAGCCTGCGGCAGTTTCTTTTGCGTGTGTGTGTGGGCGATATTATATATAAATATATTTAAAATAATTAAAAAAAAAAGGAAGAAAGACTTCACAGAGAGAGAAGGGGAAGGGTAGACATGTGGTTAACGTGCATTGTAGGAAGAAATAATAGGGAGGAGAGGAGAGGTGAGGTGAAGAGTGCGAGAGAGAGAGGCGTCTGAGAGGAAGGGAGGTTTTGGTTTTGGTTTTGGGTTTGGAGGTTCTTGCACGGCACAGATACCTTAGATCTCTATCTTCTTCATTCTGCCATCCTTTCTTCCTTCTACCTCTACCCCCACCCTTGCTTTATGCCGTAATTTATTCTTTTTTTGAACTTCCCTTTTTTCTACCCTCTTTCTCTGTCTCTTCTTCTCTCGTCGCACCGTTTAAATTCTCCGCCTTGCCTTTCATTCTCTCTCTCCCTCTCTCTCGCGCTCCATCCTTTTTTCCCCCCTATATCTTACTAATTTTGCTCAGCTCTCTGTTTTTTTGTGGTTGCCGAGATGGTGCGCTTGTTTTAAATTTCGAGAGGTTCGTCCCTTGCTCTGAATTTTTAGTTAATTTTTCCTCATTTTATCGCTTGCATTTTGAATTCCTTCCTTTTTTTGTTTGGTTTGGTTTTAAGAAAAACCCTTTGATCCTTTAATTCTTACAAAGTTTGCTCCTTTATCTGCTGCTCTAAAGACCTTCTGCGCTTTGATCGGATGCTCAATTTTTATTTGACTTCACAACTAACCTTTCCTTGTTCCGATCTGTTCAAATTCAACTTCCCCTCTCCTTTATTCCACCCTCTTTCTCAAATTCTTTGGTTCTTTCCTAGAACAGACCGAATTAACTTCTCAAACTTTGAATTCTGCTCTAGAGCTTCGCTATCTAGTAGTTTTTTTCTTTTCTTTTTTTGCACAGATTCTGTCTTGGTTAAGTTAATTGATTTTTTTTTTCACTTCATGGCTTCTTAAATGCATCTGTGTTTAAATGGTAGCATTGCCATTTGGCGACCTAGAAATGAATCTCAACTTGCAAAGTATTTTGCCTTTATCTCATCTTTCAACTCAATTTGTATAACTGCATTCTGGCTCATGCACATACACTTGAGAATTCTCCATCGCCTCATCTTTTCCACTACTCCTATCTCAAGCTTTTTTGGCAATTCTGTTGTCTTCATCAGTTTTTATCCAGGAGCTTTAGGGTTTTTGGTCTTCCTAGTTGTGCATATTCGCTGAACGAACTAATGATGTTATAAATTCCACTTGCAGGTCTTGTTATTTTTCCGAACTACGATTTTCTTAGACTTCCCTGTATAATTGATGCACTTTTGTGCTCTGGTGGTAGCCAAAGACGAGATTTTTTTCAAGTTTGTTGGTGCTACTTGAGTTGAGTTGAGATCACATCATGCCTTCTGATATTATGGGTTCACAGGGCTTGTCCCCGTCCTCATTTTTATCTGAGGATTTGCATCCTGATGAGGTATTCTTTTCCTTGTATGACTAAATTTGATTGCGGATGTTCACTTCTGCAAAGTTTATTTGTGGTCTCTTTTAGCTTGAATGATTTCAGGATCCCCTCTCACTTCTTAATAGAAAAAAGAAAGCAACTTTATTAGCTTCCATAATTGATCGTCTTGTTCTTTTCCTGGCAGAGACAGATAGGGTTTTGGAAGACAGATACCATGCCTAATTGCTATGGTGAGTAATGGCATTACTAAGCCGCACTTTTCATTCTGGTGATGAACAGAGTAGATGAATGACAGAAGTATGCAGCAAGACTTTAGCCTTCTTCCCTCTCCTTTCCCCCCTTTTTTTCTTGGGAGTGATAGAATTAGTGAGTTCTGTTTCATTTCTTGATAGCAATGGTCAGATACTGATGTTGTTGTTTGAGTGCAAATTTCTTTTTCTTTTGTATTTCAGTTTACTAGACATGCTGTACTGTACTCTCATTTAACTTTATGGGTTTGATATATGTCTTCTTTGGTCTCTTGATGCCACTGAAAATATTTTTAAGCTGCAATTTACTCCTGTATTGCATGTATTTGTTATCCTCTGGTTATTAGTCTGTTAGGATCCTTGATCAGTTTCAATTTACTCTCCTATGCGATCTTACAATCTTCTTTGTTTGTCTGATCACGAGTGGTTTGGTTCTAATTGTTTTTCACACACACTAGCAGTTTTTTGCTGTAGGATAAATTCTGCACGGCTAGTTCACAACTCTTAGCATATAATGTGATGATAGAATATAATGATGAGTTTTGATTATGAAAGGAGAAGGCAGCCTCTTTTGGTACACTGATTTCTATCTAGGGATTCCTTTCATGGTATTATATTTAGGAAGCTAGCAAGTTCCCCACTGAAAAATAATAGGAATTAAGTATACTAGCTTTGGATATTTAATGCTTAATGGCCTGATGGCGGTTGCAAATCTGGAAGCTTTCTTAAGCTCACTTTATTGGTTGATCTGTTGTTAGGTATGCATAATGGAATCTTGTTGGATTTCATACAGTGGTTCTATCACCATCTAGTTGACTCTTGTCAGTTGATGTTTGTCTACATAATAAACTCAAGTGTGTTAGACAACCACAATGGCATTTTCATACTTGAACTTAGGTCCTTCTTAGCATTTTCTGTCTGTTGGCTATGCCAACCTCAACTTGCTTACTCCACGGTACAGAATCTGGCACCATGGCTGGTTTCTATGTGGTTTTGCATCTGTGGAAAGGATTTCAACCTCGTTGTGCTTTAATTTTGTATTCTTCTGTGTTGGTTGAAATTATCTTATCACATTAAAGACTTAGAAGACTAGGGTTTGTAATTTGCCCTTCTGCTAAGTACTTGAGCAACAGTAGAATATAGAGAGTGATGACTGGAAATTCTTTGAGACTGATTAGATCTTGATGCCCTAAAACCAGGAATTGAATAAAATATGTTACCAGAATCTTTTGTTTTTATTTATTATTATTTTTATCTTATAGCGGAGTATAGAAAGGAAATTTGCTTGTCCTTGTGTTGTTCAATTTGTCAGTGCTTCTCGTTTTGAATTTACCGGCAAAATGGAGTTTTAACTGAATATCCTTGCCGTGAGTTCATTTTGAGTAATCAACTTACATAATCTGCTGTGAAATCTGAAATAAAAACCCACAGAATAGGTTTCTGATACGAGTTGGAAATTTATTTGATTTATGTGTTCTCCGCATAACTTGATGGTGATCCATCTTTCATTATTTTTTTTTTCTCTTTATGGGCTTTACTTACCCTTTGCTTGAAACTATCCTGACTTCCTCGCCTCTCTTGTAGGTTCAAAAATTGATGGAACACTTCATACAGTTGGTGTTGCTTCGTCTCCCCTTCAGAAAAGGATACAATTGGATTCTCGAATCAGCAATCGTTTTGATCTTCCAGATTCTTTTCTCCACCAAGACCAGAGGGCTGCTACAAGCATAGAGAAGCATGCTGTTGGAGCAGCTGGAGCAACCAGTCGCTCATTACCAAGAAACTTTGACCATGATTTGGTCACAAGGCCTAATTTTAGTGTGGAGCCTGCTTCTTATTTTATGGAAGGGGAAAAATTGAATTTAGTTGGCGCTCAATATGAGAATGGTCTCTTTTCAAGCTCGTTGTCTGAGTTATTTAGCAGGAAATGTAAGTTTCTTCTCCCTTGGACAATTGCTGCTTTTGATATTTGCAGTTCAAGGTTCTTGGTTGTTTTTAAAAATTAAGAATCGTTTTATGCTTTTGCATTTTGTTTGCAGTATATTTATGTTTTCTTTGGGCTTGTTATATTCAAGTTGTAATACGTGGAGGATTACTTATAAAAACAGTTGTTGGTTCAAGTCACTTACAAACGGGCTTAACGGTGCTAATTTTATGTTATCCAGTGCGACTATCATCGAATAATCCTCCTTATGGTCACTCTGTGGGTGCTGCTGCCTCTCAATATGAGGAAGAGGAGACCTTTGAATCACTCGAAGAACTTGAGGCTCACACAATTGGGAATCTTCTACCTGATGACGACGACCTACTCTCTGGAGTGACTGATGGAATGGACAATATTACCCAACCCAATAATGGAGATGACATAGAAGATTTAGATGTTTTTAGCAGTATTGGAGGATTGGAGCTGGGAGAAGATGGTTTTCCATCGGGACAAAATAATTCTGACATCTCGGGTGAAAATGCCAATGGTCAGTTGGTGGGTTCGGGTGTAGGGGAGCACCCTTTTGGAGAACACCCTTCAAGGACACTCTTTGTCAGAAATATTAATAGCAATGTAGAGGATTGTGAGTTACGAACACTTTTCGAGGTGAGATGCAGTGTTTTTTATTTAAGTTCTAGTTATCATGCATATTTGTCTTGCTTTTGGTGGTCCCAATTTCTGTATCTTTGATGCAGCAATATGGAGATATTCGCACCCTATATACAGCATGTAAGCATCGCGGTTTTGTTATGATTTCATACTATGATATTAGAGCTGCTCGGAATGCAATGAAAGCCCTACAGAATAAACCATTAAGGCGTAGGAAACTTGACATTCATTTCTCAATTCCAAAGGTATGTTTCTTTAGCTTTTGTTTACCCTGTTCATTTTGTTGTCAAATTCCAATATTTATATTTTCACTTGTCTTTGTATAATATTTATTCCAAAGGTACGATGTTTTCATATGCACACGAGTGTAGTTTCTGATGTTTATTGTTTCAAAACATGCATACTTTTAATTATTAGGACAATCCATCAGAGAAAGATGTCAATCAAGGAACTCTTGTGGTTTTTAACCTTGACTCTTCCGTCTCAAATGATGAGCTCCGTCAAATTTTTGGTGTCTATGGTGAAATTAAGGAGGTAAGATTGGGTGCCAAATTAAGGGTTGGGTTGATATTTTGTTTCAGGCAAAACTTTGCTAATTCTGTTCTCTGGACTGCAGATTCGTGAGACTCCGCATAGAAGTCATCACAAATTTATTGAATTTTATGATGTGCGAGCAGCAGAAGCTGCACTTCGGGCATTGAATAGGAGTGACATTGCAGGGAAGCGGATTAAGCTCGAACCCAGCCGTCCTGGTGGTGCTAGACGGTGGGACATTACACCACTGCATCAATTCTTTTATTTTTATTTTTTATTTTTGAATTTCATTTTAGTGTTTGTCTGGAATGAGAGGCAGGGTGGTGGCTAGGATGGGAAAGTGGTCATTCTTTTTGTGATCATCATTGGAAAAGGATATAGATCTTTGAGAGTAAACAAAATCTTCTATGTTCCTGAGTGGGTTACAAATTTATATTATGAATAGGTGTTAATAGTCTTGAGTGCTCCTAGACACCTGGAGTTAAAACCTTGTCTCTTTGCAGATTGACGCAGCCATTTACGTCAGAGTTGGAGCAGGAAGAATCTAGTCTTTATTTGCAACAGACAAGCCCTCGAAGTACTGCATCAACTGGATTTTCTGGTACAGTTTCCCGCATGATATATTTTCCATGGATAATCTTTGCCCTGCAAAGCAATTGATATCCTCATGTTTCCTCATTATGATCATTCCAGGACCATTTTCACATGGAGGAATTCCATCTAGCATGGATAACGGAACAATCTTTGGGTCCCAATCTGCCAGTGGAGCAACTGTTACTCCATTCTTTGACAATGCTTTCCACCATGTTGTATCTTCTGCTCCTAACAGCCTACCTTCTTTGACAAGGGCGGGATCTTCTGGCAATCACACCAGAGATGGTGAATCTAGCCATTCACAGGGTGAGATGAAATTAGAGCTCCGGAGTGTGCCAAACTATCATCCTCATTCACTTCCTGATTATCATGATGGGTTGGGAAATGGGATTTCTTGCAATTCCCCAGGCCACATGTCTTCTAATATAAGTGCAAGGCCTTCTGAAATGATTGAGAACACGCAGTTCTGCAGATTCGGCTCCAAAGGGCACCCTGTTGAGCTGAATGATGGTGGTAAGTTCTTTGACAGCAGAGGATTTATCTTTGTCATTTAATGTTAAGTTCCTGTATTTGAGCAGTTGGTGAAGCTGTGGAGTGTGAAGACTTGAACAAATAACTATTTGCTTGACTTATATTTAGAATGGCCATCATAATGTGTTTATATCATTTGATATTTGCCTGAAGAGGAAGTTTGTTATTGTCTGTTTTCACAGTTTGGTAGCATAATACATTTATGAGAAATTGGCCTCTGACATTCATTTCTCTTGTTTCAGTTTTTGGTCATTCTGGAAATGGGAGCTGTCCACCTCCTGGACGTCACTATATGTGGAGTAATACGCACCATCCTCAGCCTCAGGGCATGATGTGGCAAAATTCACCTTCATTTGTTAATGGGGTTTGTACTCCTCCTCATGCTCAACAACTGCATGCAGTTCCTCGAGCGCCAAACCAAATGCTCAATGCGGTTCTACCTCAAAGTAACCACCATGTGGGATCTGCACCATCTGTCAATCCTTCTCTTTGGGACAGACGACATGCATTTGCAGGGGAATCTCCTGATGCTTCTGTTTTCCACCCTGGTTCTCTTGGAAATATTAGGATTTCTGGTAATGCACCACATCCTTTGGAATTTGTTCCCCGTAACATTTTTTCGGGTGCTGGAGGAGGCTGTGTGGAGCTGGCGGTTCCTTCCAAAAGTGTTGGATTTAACTCTCTTCCTCAGAGGTGCATGATGTTTCCTACAAGGGGCCAAATGATTCCTATGATAAATTCGTTTGATTCTCCAAATGAAAGGAGTCGAAACCGTAGAAATGAAAGTAATTCGAGTCAGGCTGACAACAAGAAACAGTTTGAACTTGACATTGACCGCATTATGCGAGGAGAAGATAAACGAACAACTCTTATGATAAAGAACATTCCTAACAAGTATGTAGCTTTGACTGAGGCTTGGGACTATGCTTTTGTTTGGTATTCTTATGCATTTGCTTGACTTCATCATTGATCAAATTGAATGGGAAATAGAATTTGCGGAGGAAATGTGTTGTTGTCTCTTGATGTTTCATATATAAAGGGATACATCCTGGTTTAAACAAATCAGATCATCTCAGGCAGGATAGCTCTCCATTACATCAACTTTGATGTGATTCATGCTTCATGATAAGCACCTTTGTCTTCTTTGCCTTTTTCATTGTTATTATTTTTGTCATTGTTTTTGGTTAGCTTTCTTCTTCTAGTTTTTTGCCTGGACAAAAATGTGGTTGCATATGGATTGTCCTAGGAGGTTCACATGAATTGCAAGTGGCTTGAAGTGAATGCGAATCTGCTAAGTGAGAATGTACTACTGTCATGTTAGTTTTGTATACAGCATTATGATTCTATATTCTCTTTGCCTGCATTTAGATCAAGCATATCCTGCTTCTAGCATAGAATTACTTACTCTGAAAGTTATTATTGTATGGTCCTTTACATTCCAGTTTTGGACTATCCAATGTCTGGCATGCTTAAGTTTCCAGGGAAGGTTTCGATTGTTGTAAAGTTGATCTTTTCGTTAAAATATGTTCAGTCAATTTCTTAACCTCCTTTGCACTATTATAAATCCAGTGGAATAGTGGGTGTCTTCTTTCTACATTTGTGATTCCTGTATCCTATTTCATCTGGGTGGCTACTGCAGATACACTTCAAAGATGCTTTTGGCTGCAATTGATGAACGCCATCGAGGAACATATGATTTCATCTACTTGCCCATTGATTTTAAGGCAAGTGCAATCCCTTGAAGCGGGTGGCTTTTAAATTCAGTACCCCCAACTTCTTGTGCTATGTTAAGTAGTTAATGTGGTATTCCTTCCTTTTCAGAACAAATGCAATGTGGGATATGCATTTATCAACATGACCGATCCCTCCTTGATCATCCCATTTTATCAGGTATACTATTGATCATAGTAATTGGAAAGAACTTTTCCCACACTACACCTGGTTCTTGCTAAATCAGACTAGAACTGAAGTGCATTGATTGTCTTGGTAGGCATTCAACGGGAAGAAATGGGAAAAGTTTAATAGTGAAAAAGTAGCCTCCCTTGCATATGCTCGCATACAGGGAAAAGCTGCTCTTATTGCGCACTTCCAAAATTCAAGCTTGATGAATGAAGACAAGCGATGCAGGCCGATACTATTCCACACTGATGGTCCCAATGCAGGTGATCAGGTACAAGGAGTGCTGCTTATGCATAAGCAAGCATTGACATGAATATTAGCATGCATTGCTTGAAATTGGTCTGTTTACCATAAGTTTTCTGTGGGTTAAGAGCTAGAGAACTGGTCTAATCTTGTGGTAGATTTGACCTGAACCTAAGCTTGAGATTTTAGTTCCCCTTATGAGAGTCATATAGATTTGCATTGGAGGCAGGTGATTGGAAGGGTAGGGTGGCTGTTGCAATTTTTGGCACCATCTGTTATAACGGCCATCCATTGCTGAAGTCTTTGAATAGGAAGTATTGCTTCAATACGTAGCACTGTCCTGTAAGCATATACAATACAGGATTTTCAGCATGTGGAAGTACAAGTTATTAGTTTTTCATTTATGTGATGAGGCTACTTTAGACTTGAATGTAGAAGACTAAGAAGAAAGTATCACTCTGGGGCCTGTTGTGTAAATGATAGTGGATTTTTGATGTTGTGCTGCAGCACAAGGCTTGGGGAGCTTTCGTTAGATAATATCTGAAGTTCTTGGGTTTGTATTGTTTGGAGTTATCTAGTTAAAAGTTTTTGGGACCATCAAACTTTGCGCTTGAATGACCCCCTTCTTAAGTCAACCTTCAAACTGTGGCATCAGTAGAAAAAGTAGAGTAATTGAGACTATAGGTAATGTTACTATTCCACTATGCATTTCCTTTTACGAACTCAATAGTTGTGCTGGATGGGCTTATAGCTAATCTGATCTTGATAGAAGATAGATGTAAGAAAACATTTTGTCTCGCTGAGAAAAGAAAGAAGAGGTCATGTTGATTTTTATCTGCAGGTACCTTTTCCCATGGGTGTTAATGTTCGACCAAGACCCAGCAAAAATCGGGCAACCACAAGCGAGGAGAACAGCCAAGAAAACGCACCGAATTTGCCAAATGGGGAGTTATGTTTTAACGGAGACTCCGCTTCAGGTTCTGTCAAGGAGTCAGATTGAGCAAGCTGATGCTACTTTTTTGTGGGCACTAACTTAGTAGGATTTAAGTAATTTTGAGTGATTCCACCCAAATTTTACTGATGTATATTAGGGTGGTTAATGGAGGAATGAAAAGACACCACAAAAAAAAAAAAAAAAGAGGAGGAGAGAGGACAGTTTTGTTGTGATTTTGGAGAGACTCCTGAAATTATTGAGTGGTACTTGATAAGAGCATTGTATTCCCGTTCGCAATGGGTTTATCATCACTTCGAGGCTGCTATTAGAAAAGGAGCATTGGATGGAGCTTCAAATTTTGGATATTGAGGAAATTAAGTCCAGATATATATATATATATATATAAATTTATGTGTATAGGAGTTCTGGAGTGACTGCAAAATATTTGCTGCACAGAGGAGGCTTCTCTTGGCATTTTGCATTTCCCTCTGCACTTTGCTTGGAGAAATTAGAGATCATTGTTAAAACATTCTTGATGTAACAAAACTGTTGTGGTCTTGTACCGATTTCCTGGATACGAGTCCCGAGATACTGTGGCTCGTTTAGCATGGTTATCATCACATTGTCAATATTTCTGTCCTTGTGTTTTTCGCAGATCTTGTTTTGGCTTAACGAAGTGCTGACATGCCGTGCATTTCTTTTTTTCTTTTAGTATAAGAGAACATGTAGGTCCTTTAAGAGAGGCTGTCGTTTATCTATCTCGTACTAGTATTTTGCATATCCATTGAGTTCTGTCAGAAAATGGGGCTGCTCTTACCATTTTAGCATGACGGAGACATTGCCATTCTGAACTGCGGTGCGATGGGCTCGCACGTAGAATACGAGCCACCGAGCAAGAAGAAGCGAGGAGCCAGAGGGTCACGGGGTTTGAAGGTGAATGATTTATCCTTGGAAGATATTTTCTTTGGTGGAGACTGGAGAGGGGGTTGTGTGTGTGCGTGTGTGTGAAGATTTTTTAGTTTCAAAGACATCGATTTAAGTTGATGTGATCTAACATTGATACACGGACATGTTCATTCTAGTAATTAACCCCAACTCAAGAGAAAAAAAAAAAAGAGATTAAAATGATGATGTTAATATCCGGCTAATGGGATCCCATCGCCGAAGCAAAATTGAATGATCGAGATAGCCTGATCCTGGTATGTCTATTAAGCAATCCTCGACCGAAAACAAAGAGGCGAACCACTTTCAATTCCATTCACGAGTCGATCAGGTGTAGCGGCGGTGGGGATCGTCAACCACAGAACAAAAATGACTCCTGCAGAGCAGACGGGGATTGAATTGAATTCTGAGAACAGCATCATTTGTTTTGGCATTGTCCCACACTTTTTGTTTGTGAAATAATTATCTGCTTTTTCAAGAAACAGTAGTAAGGTGGATGCTTCAGTTCAAAGGCATTGTGATTGTCAAGGAACAATCCAACCAACAAATGTCTTAGCGGCCAAGTTCTTGAGTCAAAATTATTCTCAAAACCATCACAAAGGCATAAGTCCAATCCACTAACAAAACACCTGAGGATTGCAGGTGGAATCAAGTCATTTGGGGTACAGAATGTCATAATGCCCTGGTCGATATAGCAAGGTAATGAATGGATCTATTGCCTCTGCGCCACCCTTCTTAGCACTGGGAAGATCATTACTAACAGGATGGAAATCATGATGATTTACGCTGACACTGCCATTGTCACACGAGCTGCGGTCAAGATATACCACACGAATTGGAACTCCTAGCGCATCTGACAGCGCTGTAATGTGAACATGGTCACTCTCTTCCCCCATCGGCTCGACTGCTGACTTGCAAAACTGTTCTCAAACCAGAAAGCAACAGGTAAATGTCAATTAGTGGGTAGAGAGCATTTTCAGACTTCAGAGGAGACGAATCCAATCGTCAAGCTATAAGGCTCCCAAAAGATAGCCTACTAGGAGTTCACAATACTATAGAACATAACCAAGACATACAAACTCCTTTGAATCATTAGCTGGATTCCAGTTGTACCATATGACATCCTATAATGTATGTATCTGATGTCACTTTTTTACTTTTTGTTAGCAGAATTGCAGAAACCTGAATATCACATGTGTCCTTCCTGATTAGAGCGAAAGAAGTAATCTACACTTTAATAGCAATTTGCCTTTACTTCAGGTTCTGAATATTAACTCTGATTCATAAGAAAGCCCCCCCCCCCCCCCCAAAAAAAAAAAAAAAAAACTTGTGGCTGCATGGCCTCTAGTTGTGATTACTACCCATTTTCTCCATAATAGGGGAAATGATTCAAATAGAATAAGTAGCATACAAGCTCCAGAAAACAAACCTGCTCGACAGAGGCACTTGTTAATCCTAGTATAAAAGGTTCAAAAAACTCTGATCTTTTCCGTATCTCACCAGAGGTAACAAATCTGAAGAACATAACAACTATACAAGAACCAGCATTAGAACATGCCACAAGTAATTGTATTAGAATTTTTCTCTTTTAAAAATATGTTTCACCAACAAGACCCACCATAGTCAGATATCGACTGATCCCGACTTCTCTGCACAAGTTCATCAAGGCTGCAACCCGAAAAGATGAAACACTCTTTCATTAGAAACTGAAACACTGAGAAATTAACAAATAAAATAGCCCTAAATGATTGAGGATCAAGATTATAAACCAAAATGTGCAGTTCAAAACAAAAAATCAAGGGATTAAACCTTATTGAAGTTTCACTTCCTTGAATAACACAGTCAAGCTGCTCCAGGAATAACTGAAATTTGTAAAAATCGTGAGCAAGCCAAAATTTTATACAAATTGCAGTATTCAGATAAATAGAACTCGGATACAAAAAGAAAAAGAAAGTTGGACTAAAGTGTATCAAGCATTAACTAAGCCAGAGCCCGAACTGCTCGTTAAGTCTCGACTCGATGCGCCCCTAGTGTTCTCAATCAAAATTAAAAACGTCATTCAAATTAAATCTTATGTTCTATATAAAGTCAACAAAATACCATTTACAGCTCACGACCAATAACTTGTCACACAAAACAGGTAAACGTAATGGGAAAAAATCATGCTTGCAAGGCCTAAGGAAGGATTGAAATTCTAAGCTATCAACAGAAAATGCAAGAGCAAAAGGAGTGGAAAAAAAGTTCATACTAGAAAATAATCTTACAAAAGGAGTTTTAAGGAAGATACATGAATGTTTTTGGGAGAAAGCAAAAGAAGAATTCTGAAAGAGAAATAAATAAGTTCACTACATGTATGAAGATTTCTGTGTTATGTCCCAATGGGGAGGTTGAGGCATCAAGGGAAATAACTCACTGGAGTGCGCCATGAAGGGGTATAGGGGACAATGGGAGATAATTTTAAGGGAAGAGAATATTGGTCTCTGCATTGGGGCCATCCATTTTCTCAGGGAATATAACTTCAAGATGCTTCACGTATTTGTGACAAGCTTAGTACGTGATAGTGATTATGACAATTATGACAAGTAGAACTATTTTATTCAGTGTAAGTGTCAAAATGCATGCACATTGCTAATGATATCGTGCTCAAGAACTAGAGGTAATGGAAATCCATGGTTCTATAAAAACACAAAAAACATTACCTTCCAAAAAAATTCACCTCAGCTATATACAACAACGCAATTTACTTCATTAAAGTTATAAGGTAAGCTTTGATGCCTTGGAAGAGTCAACATGAAGCCTGAGATTTTGTTTCCAGTAAAAAATGATGCTTAATAAAGCAGAAGCTACACTTTGTGTTATAAACTACACAAAGTTCCCTTTATTATTCTAACTTTCCTTTGAATTAGCTAACTATACTACTATTTAATCTTAATATCTACTCATATACAGAATAAAAGTGCCAAAAAGTGGCACATCGATAAACTATTATATTTCAAGAAAATAAATAACCTTATCCCAATGGAAATTCCATTTGGCTGCTAGGTCATTGTTTGAGTACTCATACGATCAAAATTTGTTCATCTGTCAATAATTGCCTGAAGTGCCTATATAGGTGACTGTACAAAACGGGGGGTGAAAACTATCAATACCGCAAAAAAATCTTCAAAAGTAAATTCTGCATAGCCCAGATTCCGGAGTGTCATTCTGCATTGTTCGACATTAGCTTTGATTCGATCAATTTCACCTTGATCCTGAGATTCCATAACATGTTCCTGGATTTTGACCATGGAGAATCATTTAGCATCGATTTTGCAAATCACCTGAATTACCTATAAAGATGAGGTATGCAGATCCTAGAAGGGCATCTCTGATGTCAACAGAATAACATACAAGGTAAGCAAACATGAAGCTTCGGAAAAAACAATTCCCATCACCCCGTGTTCGCCTGATCGCAGCATATTGCTCACTCAGTACCTGCACAAACAGTAACCAGGATAAGTGACCAATCAGAAGCATGAAAAAGAAACTCAAGACTAAAAATTGTCAGAACCTTTATCTTTTCGAGCAAAATCGAACTTCCTGACTTATATTCATTTGCTAATGAAGAAAGTGGCTCCTGCAATTACATGTGCGGTTAGAAAAATAAAATGTTACATATAGGAAGTGCAAGTTAAAAGGTACAAGCACCACCAGACAATTGTTACTGGAGCATATCAAATAATTGATGCTAAAAGATTAGAGAAATGTTATTTAAATAACCAAGCTAAAACACTTACTGATCAGAGAAATTACAGGCAATCTTTGGCTAATATTCCGACCTTGGCTAAGATTGTCATCAAGTATCATCAAGTTGCAATTTTAAGACCACCAAACTAGCCACATCAGTCACACATGAACCCATACTTCATATTGTCACTATATATCAATAGTCCTGAGTTATCAACCTCTTTTGATCCTTCCTTCTTTTTTTTTCACTTGAACATCTTTTTTATCTTAAAATTGACTTAACTGCCATTCAAAACTTACACAAAAAGAAAGGAAATCTACAGATTATAATGCAGGCAAAAACTCAGGCTAAGCACCATCTGCATAGAAGGTGGTGGACCTGGCAGTGTGACTGATTAATTTACCATCTCCAACCTACAAGAGCTAAAATATTTGCATCATATGGTTGTATAAAGCAGCTCATTTATCAAACTATGTCTGCATCACCAATATGACCCAGGCATTTATGAGCTGTTGCCTAGGAACATCTACAAGATTTAAGGGCTATTCAGCTCTAGCAAATTAAACAGAAAATTATCAGCAAATAACAAGATAATCAATCTTACGGTTATAAAAATGCTGATCAAAGATGTCAAACCTGCTATATAATGATCTGAAGTACCAAGAAAGGTAAAACCATATATTAAAACTAGCAAAAAGCTTCAACATAGTTTTGCTTCAAGGTGTTCTTGCCTTGTCACCAACAAATGGGATTTTCTCAGCTTCCTCAGCTTGGATGGCAAATTGTTGTTGCATAATGTCATCATCCTTAAAGTTTGCCCAATCATCAATTTCAGATGCTTGTGTGGAGCTCACCTTCTCTGTTTCAGCATCCCCATCATGCGCCTTCAGATTTTGCATTTCCGCTGGAGCAAAAAGGATAACAAGTTCTGTATATTTGATCCTGAATTGGAATAGAGAGCACAGTTCAACCATTTGCTCAGCCTATACTGCCGAAGCCAGAACTCAACCAGGAGGAAAAACAAGACCTTTTCTTACTCCCTTTGATTAGCTTGTAATAATAACTAAATGACATCCTGTAGTCATTAAAATATAGAAATTTGTACGAGTGAACTATGCTCCAATACTTGTTCACGGCCAACCAGCCTCCCTTGCCCAAGTGGAAACTAGCGGAGGGTAGGAACTTTTTAAGCTAAAAATATTAAGCGATAGGGGAAGAAGGATCGGCAAACTACTTTTCTTTTTCTGAACAGTAGGCATAAAATAGGTCTGATGTATGTGATGATAACATGGTTCACAAAATTAGTTTGACGGATAAAAAGATACTAGTCGAATTACTGTTGTGGAACATAAAGAAACATTTCAATAAATATATTCTGAAATCCAATCTCTATGACCTTAAAAATCCTTAATGCGCTAGCAGGAAAGAGAGCACATAAAGGTAACTCCCATGGTGGAACAAAAAGGCGGCTCTAAGCTCATGACAGACCATTGCCTCCACACATTTTAAAAGCTCCAAGTCTAATCCATTAGTCTAAATCCGGAAAACTAAATTCAGATCGGCAGTAGTAGTACAGTAATTCGAATTCAAGAACGTAGTGAACAGCTCTTATATATCACAGTACCATACCGAGGTGAAACAAAGCCCAAGTGAAACTAAAACAGATAAGTACATCATTATCGTCCCCCGAGTATAATTAAAATTATGCCGATTGCTACAAAGTTTCTGTTCACGAAATGATCGCCCCTCCCCTTCCTCCACCCAGTTATTTCACAAGATCTTATATATGACTCTGTCCAGTTATTCAACAAAAGATTTGCAGATAAATACTCAGCTACATGGCATTTACAAGAAATATGAAAATGGAGATATCCCATGAAAGAACATCAAGAGACAGTATCGTACACTGGAAGAATTCAGGCGTCTCAAAGCTGTCAAGGAAAGTAAATTAACAATTTTTCTTTCAGAAAGAGCACTACCGCCTTGATTATCAATTTTTCTAGGATTTGAAAAAAAGAGATGCGTTCATAAAATCCCAGGCCAATAAGAAACGAAACAGATGGAAAGGAAAAAGGAAGAAGAAGAGGAGTGGGTATGCTGACCAGTAAAGTGAAAATTGAATCTTGGAAAATTTATTATGTGGGCTGCGGGGCTTAATTCGGATTTGGTTCCTTTTTTGTGAGCTGAATGCTTCGCCACCTGGTCCAAGCCCCCAACCAGAGAGCCGAAAAACCCCACGATGTAGGCAACGGAAAAAATTCTAGGCACCCTAAGTTGCAGAATTGCAGACGATAGAAGATGCTGCTGGGAAAGGGGAACCCCAACTCCTCCTCAACTCTCCAACTCAAGTCTCAACTAGCAGTAGACTTATTACAATGCAATCCGAATATTGGTTTCTTTCAATTGTGACTTGGACTCACGGACCCCGACTTTCCGAGAGTCTTTAATAAATTTCCTTTTTTTTTTTTTTTTTGTGTGTGTGTGTGTGGACTGTGGAGGAATGTTTGATTTTATTCAATCGTGGTTAATTGTCATATTTTATCTCAGGGCTGATGGTAATTTTATCAAAACCGAAATCTGTTTGACTTTGATCTCTACATACACAAAAGCAATTCTTGAAATCTCAACCAGCCCTCTTTCGACTACCACTTGTTACGCTCTTCATCAGTGTTCATAAACTTAAACTACTCATTCAAAGATCTTAGACATGATTGACTAATCTTCGTTGCATGGTTCCTCTATTTTTTAATTTCTTTTCATTTATTTAATGTTGTCACACTAATATATATGACAATTTAAATATATTTTTTTTTCTTTTTTGGACCAGTTATTAACCTTATGATTTTACACGATTAGTTAATTTTTTTTTTATTTTACATGATATTCTAAAATTATAGCTAAAAAATCAAAATTATAAATTACAAGTTACTAGTTTTTTTTTATTTCGACTTTAACTTCTAAAAAATCTGAATCAATTAAGAATAGGCCTTATAATATAACTTATTCCCATGAAATCTTGAAATGTTAAATATCATAAATTTTAGTCACCTCGCATCTACTTTTGATTAACTATTTTGGCACCAATTTCGCAAGCATAATTAGATGTGGGTGAAAGATCATGGCATTTGTGAGATGAAACGTGATTGATGGATAGGGATAATATTATTATTACTATTCTCAAGGCACCTGTTAGGGGATTGTAGTAATGCCAACTCATTGTTATTATTATTATTATTATTATTATTATTATTATTTAACCATTCAGCATCCATTAAAAAAAAATTGTCATTAGGTAAACGTGCAAAACAAATCACCAGCCTTTGAGCTAGTAGCCACTATCAAAGTACTAAAACTTGCCGGTGAACCCTTGCCTCTCACCAATTACCACATTAAAAGTGGCTTTACTTTAAAAAATTTTGGCAACTGTGTAGTGCATCCGTTCGGTTCCGTGGTGATTCAGTTCCCTCCAAATTACTTATAGATCTCCTTAGATCCATCCCCTCTCTCTATTGTAGGATAAATTAGGCTATACAAAAGTTATCGTCTCGAAAAAAAAAAGGTAAACGTGCAAAACAAAATGGTTTCCTTGCAATTAACTTTCCTCCTAAAAAAAGAAACTATGAATTGTGTTAAATATAATCAAGCTTTAAATAAGTATGGCTCTAGTAAATAATAATAACTACAGATTTGACGTAGGCACTATGTATATGCAATTAATTAGACATATATGTGTGTGTCTATATATGTGTGTACGTACTTATGTCTTTATATGAGCATTATTTTTATACAAAAAAATGAAAGGAAAGACTAAAAGCAAAAAAAAAAAAAAAAAGAAAATACGAAAGCAGGTAAAAGAAGTTACAAAGATAGATTTTTTTTTTTGTGGGTAACTTGAAAATTATAAGCGATATAAAGTTGCGAAAAATCATTGTAGTGTATTTATTTATTTGTGTTTTTGCTTTTCCTCTTTAAGTGGAAAGTCTTAAACAAAAAATTGCATACTTACAATCTCTCCCATCTTATCACCCTCCATCTCAAGTTGTAGTCTATTTTTATATATTATTAAAAAATTGTGAAAAAAGTAATATGTTGTTGATTAGAGTCCCGGAGTTACCATTCTATCTTTTCAATTAAAGACATTGAAGGAAATTTAAAAGGCCGCGTTATATCAGCGCCAAGTGGTACGTGGGAAATGATGTTTGGATACCAAAATTATCTCAAATAATATTTCGCTTGCATCACAAACACATTTTTCAACCTACCTTTTTATATTCCCAACTACTTTTTATCTCACATACATCACATCACAAAAAGTGCTACAGTAATTATCCCAAATAATATTTTAAATAATACACTATCCAAACAAATTGCACTCCAATAAAAGTCTCTTCGACTCTCGTTATCGTCTCGTGTTCTTTGAATTTTGAAAATGCCCTCTATCATTTATTATTCATGACTTTTCTTCTACTGCTCGTTGCTCTTCCTAATCAAACAATTCCCTTCATCAACTCAATATAATCTTGTGCCTCAATTAATTATTCTTCATTGTGATTTTGTAGTGTCAGTTGAAACCTAAGCCAACTACTATCTTGAAATTTTGATTTAGTCTCATATGAAACTATCACAAAGATAACCGCAGATCATATTAATGTAAAGTATCACTATTACAAACAAGGGAAAATGGCCAATTTAGTCCCTAAACTTTTTTTTCCCGTCGATTTAGTCCTTATATATTATTTTTAGCCAATTTGATCCTTAAACTTATATTTCTGTTTCAATCAAGGAACTCAGCGGCGGAGCCACCGCACAATTTCCTTCAAGCTCCTAATTGAGCAACCAAAAGGGGTATTTTGGAATTTCAATGGTGAGGCTGTAACAAAAATTAAAAAGAAGTGACATTAAAAAAAAAATTATACACAAAATGTTGATTACTAAAACAGCAGTAAGAGGAGGAAGAGGAGAAGAAGCAACGACCATCATCTCCTTCAACAATGCTGCTGCTGCCGCCTCCAATTCCTCCGCTAAGCAGCAGACTCTCCCAAACACAATCGGACTCCTACTTCAACCCAAAGCTTGCCCCTAAGTCCCTCTCCGCCTCCAAGAAATTTGAGGGCTCCTCTGACTTGGTCAACCTTCCACATGGGCCTCATCCTTTCCTCCCCGATCAACATCTACCTCATCTGGTACGACTGGTGGGCCGCCTCGCACCATCTCCTTATCAAGGACTTCCTCATCTCCATCTCCACCTCCGATCGCCGCGCCGCTCCCTCCCCCTCCGTCTCCCAGTGGTGGCGCACCGTCTCCCTCTACACCGACCAGACCGGCGCCAACATCTCCAGCTCTGTCCTCGTCACCGGGGAGTACTCCGACACCCGCTGCTCCCAGGGCACCCACCTCTCCATGCAGCAGGTCATCGCCGCCGCGGTCCGATCGAAGCCCTTCCCCGTCAACCACAAGAACGGTATCTACCTCATCCTCACCTCCGGGGACGTCACTGTCCAAGACTTCTGCCGGGCCGTTTGCGGCTTCCACTACTTCACCTTCCTGTCCGTAGTGGGCTACATGCTGCCGTACGCCTGGGTGGGCAACTCCGGGAAGCAGTGCCCCTCCGAATGTGGATGATAAGCTGGTCGGGCACGAGCTGGCGGAGCTGGCATCGAACCCACTGGTGAACGCGTGGTACGCGGAGGAGGACCCCCACAGCACCGACGGAGATCAGGGACCTGTGCGAGGGGCTGTACGGGACGGGGGCGGGGAAGGGTACATTGGGCAGGTGATGAGGGACAGAGAGGAAAGGACGTACAACGTGTAGGGGAGGAGGGGTCAGGGGTCAGAAGTTTTTGGTGCAGTGGATCTGGAGTCCTGTTTTGAAGGCTTGTGCCGGTCCGAATGCGTTGGATTAGGATTCCTGGAGAGGCAATTCCCCTATTCTCCTCTCCTGTCATCCAGAATCCTACTACTACTACAGTAGCAGTAGCACTTTGCTAGTAGCGGAGGAGTAGTTGTAGTTGTAGTATACTACGACGGTAGTACTTCATTATTCTTTTTAAGTCTGTTTGGTAGTCTATATTTTTTAATTTTTGTTACAGCCCCACCATTGAAATTCCAATAATACCCCTTTTGGTTGCTCAATTAAGAGATTGAAGGAAATTGTGCGGTGGCTCCGCCGCTAAGTTCCTTGATTGAAACCGAAATATAAGTTTAAGGATCAAATTGGCTAAAAATAATATATAAGGACTAAATCGACGGAGAAAAAAAGTTTAAGGACTAAATTGGCCATTTTCCCTACAAACAATCATCACTAAACTGAATAAAAATCTCTCTCTCTCTGCGCACATAGAACATATTCAAACATTCACTTGACCATAAATTTGAAAAGAAAAGCAAAAAGAAACACGCAATTATCTCGAATACTTGTGCCAAAAGACAAAAAAAAAAAAAAAAAAAAAAGGGAGGTATTTTCCTCTATTAAACCATTCATGATTCTTTTAGCGGTGCCAATATTGGTTACGTATTGATGGTCCTTTTGGGCTTAACTGATTGAAAATCGATGCAATTCCTGCCTCATATAGACGGGGCTGAAATGTTTCTCAGATGCGGGAGGCCCAATCCATGACAAGGGCTCGAGGCCTACAGAGCAGAGTTGACTGGAAGCTTTAATTAAGTCAGCGACAACGTCCGGCCGCTGTGGCTTCATTTCATTTATGAAGCGGGGCTTAGTTAATTAAGGGTTTAATTAAGTAACGAGTGTTCGTTGGATTGGACGCGGACGCTCGTTAGTTAATATGCATAAGATTTTTGAAAAGGGTAAAGTATATAAATATAAGGAAGAAAATTCAATTATTAGTGCGTACATCTATATATATATATATATATATATATATATATGTGATAGGTTAAGGTGGGGTTTAAATATGTTAATTAGTGCAGTTAGAGAAACCTATTAATAATTAAAGAGTACTAATATTTACTTCAATTAAAAATGCGTATTGCTGCCTGTATTAATTGTGAAAAATCGTCGAGCATTATTGATTCATTACGGTAGTGCCTAATTAAATCTTGAGAAATTTCTTGACCTTAAGCGAATGCGTTCGTACCTTCACACCACCTTTGATGAATATTGGGCAGCAGGTGATCAGTAGTTATCTTATCAGGCGGGAATTAATAGATGAATATTGGAACTGGGAGTGTGTGTGTGTGTGTGTGTATATATATATATATATATATATATAGGCACAGACACAGACACACACCAGGCTTATTATTGTTTCAGACTGTGCAGTGCGTACAAGAAGCGCCTCCTCAACACAACACAGCCCAGCCTCGCAGCTGCACCCAACATACATCCTTTATATATACATTCACCCACAAAACACTCGAGACTCAGACATTGCCTAGCTACAAGTTTAAGAGTGTAGAAAAAGTCATAATTATATATT